CCCTCCCAACCTCCCAACCCCACCCCACACATACATGCAAACAAAAGCTAGAATGCAACCTCCATGGGGTGGGGATTTTTGTCTATTGTGTTCACTGCCATGTCCTCAGGGTCTAGAACAGTGTCTGGGACAGTGGCTACCAAATAAATGTAGTTTGAGCGCATGGATGGGTGACCGAATGGACACAGGCAGTGGCCTCCCAGTTCTCCCCAGTAGTCAATAGAGCCAAGGCACAGAGCTGCCTCCTCCTCACAGCCTCCCCAGAGGTCCAGCCTCCTCCCACCCGATTGTCTCTGCCGCCCAGTGAGGCTGCCATGGATTCACACAGCACATCCACATGTGCGCTTAATGGCTGATTCTCCCCGACATCCACAAAGATCTTAACACACACAGAAGAGTTCAGCTACAATAAACGTTAAGAAATGGAGATCAGAAACCACTGAAAGAATCATCAAACTTGCTAAGAAGCTGTATCTTAATTATGCCGACCACTATAAAGAAATCATAATTAGGGGATGTGATAGAGGTGCTAATTATCGCTACAATGGCAACCACGATATATAAATGTTGTTTTAGCATTTATATTAACATTAACAAATCAACCTTACACCCACACAATGTCATATGTCAAGCAGATTTCACTTAAAGAAAAAAGCACCAAGAGGGAGATTTTTAGGCATGTGGGGTGGACGGAAGGCCGGATGCAGAGGTGGAGACGCGGGGAGGTGAAGAGCAGGCAGCTGGCGCCTGCGCCTGCAGTTAAGGGAGCGAGATGTTGGACTGGAGACTGATGGTCGGGAGTCTGGGCGGAGGTGGAATTGAAGGCCTGTGGCGTGGACAGAAGAGAGGCCCAAAGGCCAGATGAAAGCCAGGGAGATGAGGAGGAGCCAGAAAGTGCTGAGAAAGAGGCTCAGTGAGGGGAAAGGCAGGAGAGTGGAAAGTGTTTTGAGGGAGGAGGGAGTGAGGGAAAGTGTTGTCTCAAGAGAGGCCCACGTGTCTGGGGAACAGTGACAATGTAGCTGTGGAAGGAGTGGGCGATGATCCTTCAGAGGTGGTGGGGCCACATTGTAAAAAGCCTTGAACTTGATTTCCTTGGAGCAGTGGGGAGCCATTGAAGGTTTGTGAGCACTTTGCATGGGCAAAGGGCTGGGCTGTCACTGGCTGGGGAAGGATGCTCTTGGCCAGCTTTGTGGAGGGAGGCACAGGGGTTACTGATGATGCTGGCAGTTGGTCTCCTAGCGACCAGGTCTCTGCTCACAACAGCTCGGCTTTTCCTAGCAACCCCAGCCTTTTGGTCCCCACCTGGCCTCCCTGGGGGTGGTTCTGCAGAGTTCCCCAAACATCCCCTCAATCTGATTAGAAGCAGGAAGAATTGGTGGCTCATCCGTCATCAGAGTCGCATTGGCTCCAGAGCCAGCCTTGCAGGCTCGGGGCTGGCTAGACTGCTCAAATTCCCCATTTGCATTCGCTGCCTCGGGCCCTGGGACGAATGTCATCGCCCCCAGCTGAACTCCTGCGCCATGGTTGTCCTTGTCGGCAAAGACAGTGAGACCCAAGTAGGTGGCTGCTTCTCCCTAAGGGATCCCCTCCTTCTTTTGGGGTTGGGGTGCCGGGTGAAGAGTCTTCAGAAAGAGAATGCAAGGACCTTAATTTGGGGACACAGCTTGCTGGGTGACCTAGGGGAGGAGTGGGCTGCGAAACCCTGGCAGGCTGGCTGCCGCTGCTCCTCCTTGTACCTTTAACCCTTTCACCTGGAGACTGGGGGTGAGGGAGTTCCTCTGGGATGCCCACCTCAGCCCATCTGTCTGACTCTCCACTTGGAATTCCCTGGGATTTGGGAACCTTCCAGAAGTTGGTTGCCTGCTGTTTCTGGACCAGGCAATGAGGGGTCTTGGCAGTCACTGGGCACACTGCCCACCAGAAGAAAACCTGACTTTAGGTTCATAGATCCCCAAACAGCCCCTGGTGGTGCTGACAGGACCACAGTAAAGCTGATGAGGCATCTCAGTAGCTGGAGATATTTGTGCAAAATGGTCCTAGTCCACGTGGGTGATTCATAACCCTGAAGAACACTGCCTCCTCTGGGATTAATAATACTGATGACAAGAGCGATCCTAAGAACAGCTGTCATTGAATTAGCACTTGTTCTCTGTGCCAGACACCGTGCTACAGCATCTGTTATTAATCCCACTTCACCGATGAGAGAGCTGAGGCTCCAAGACAGGGGTGTCTGCTGGCGAGTGTAGAGCTGACCTCTGTCCCAGGTCAGGCTGGCTCCAAAGCAAATGCTTGGGACACAGACAAGGAAAGCTGCTGATCGGTTGTTAGAGATGGAGAATTGAGAGTGACCCCTGACATGGGGAGTCTTTTTTGACTTTTTCCATGAGATTCTCAGTGGCCCACTGAGCTCACCCAACTAAGTTGGGTTGTATAGGCTGGGCAAGTCCTACCCATTTGACAGATGAGCAAACCGAGGCAGCCTGAGGGCTTCCTGGTGACTTGCCCACAGTCACACTTGACTTCCTGGCCTGATTCTGGAATGGTCAAGACCCTGGGCAGCCTCTGACTGGACTATGGGAAGCGACTTTCCTGTGCTCTGAGAACCAAGGAGGGCATAGTTCCCACAATACTTTTAGGGGCCCCCAAGGATGTCTTAATTTCTTTTAAAATCAGACCAAAAAAAAAAAAAAGTAAACCTTGAGATGGAAGAGAATGTTTTAATATATAATAGTAACATGTGTCCCACCAACCTTCCAGCCTCAGGAGGACCGAGAACAGTGAATCCAGGTTTTCTGGGCTGCAGACACCGCCGTCATCCTCGGCGAGCCCCTTGCTGACGGGTCTGCGGGGTGAGCGAGCCATTAGGAAGAAGGATCTAATTCTAACTACAGAAACCACACTAGCCCTGTTCTGAGTCACATTTTAACGCAGAGGTCACACATGGGCATCAAAAGCCCCACTTTAGCCCAGAGGCAGGTTCTTTTGAATAACTACATATTAATATAGGCATATTAATTTGGCTTAATTATAAGCATCAGGAGATTCCACTTTAAAATATGTAGTTTAGAATTCTCTTGAAAATCTGATGATCTGGCCACTGAGACCCCATTCCAAGTGGAGTGAGGTTGCCAGCTCAGGTGGGCACATGTTCTCTATTTGCCACAGTCCTCGGTGCTCCCTATAGCCTCACCCCTGGTTCCTGTCACTCATGTGCATATGCTGCCTGGGCCAGGAACCCCAGAGCTTCAGTAGTTGCAGTGTGGTTCTGACCTCATGTGCGGGAAGAAGCACAGGGCCTGTGTTTGAGGGTTTGTGTGGTGTGTGACAATTTGCTGTGTGATTTTGGTCAGGTCAGTCCACCTCTCTGGGCTTCACTTTTCTCATACTCCCTGACCCACCTGCATCACCAAGGATGCCTGGAGACTCTCAGAAGGGAGATGCTGGGCATATATTTTGAACACTATACAGTGCCTTTGGATCACATCCCAGAGGACAGTTCCTCAAACCATCCTCCACGCTTTTCTTTGCACATGCTGTTCCTCCTTTCTGGACACACTTCCCTGCCTATTCTTCATGGTCAGTTCATCATCCTTGAGGTCCAGCTGACAGGCCTCCTCTGGGAAGCCCTCCTTCCTAGGCAGACTTGTGGCTGTGCCCTTCACAGCCCCTTGTTCCAACACGTGTCTTAGACTGGGAGATCACTAGCAGGACATGGGTCTGTGGCCCTCCCTGTGCTGGGAGCCTCACGAGGGCAGGGGCCTATTCTAGGGCATCTTTGTACCTCAGCTCCGGGCACAGAGGTGGCACTCAGCCCCTAACGGCAGCCCTTTCCTCCTTTCCCTCTGGGTCTCAGTGTCCTGCTGGATAGCTGTCTGGTGGCAGAGGCCGGCCAGGACCCGAGTGGAGTAGACAGGACGGTCACCCGGAGGGCCTCATGCCAGGTATGGAGCACCAGGTCTGGCATCCAGCTCCCTCTGAGGCTTGGGCTGGCTTCGGTGGAAGGGCCGGGACCTTGTCCACCTCATTTACAGGGGATTTTCGACTTATGAGATGCCAATGGACAGAGGGGAGGAGGGTGGTGGGACCGCAAAGTCCTGCTGGTATCAGATGGTGTTAGGAGGGGCCTTAAGGTGACAGTGGGTTGGGAGACGCTGAACCTGTGCTTCAGTCTTCACATGACTGTGTGACCCTGGACAAGCCACCAGCCCACTCTGGGCCTCAGTGGCCACCTTTGTGAAATGGGGCTAACCCCCTTCCCCTGGGTGCTGGACACAGCTGGACAATGTGAAGCACAGTGCCTGGTGGAGAGGACTGTGGTGGCTGTTGTAGTTGCTTTGTCCCCACATGCACAGGGCTCCTTATATGTGACAAGTCGGGTTGGGGCCTGGGGCTCCTGTATGCACTGCCCTCTACAGGGTGGAGGCCACCTCCCTGGATGAACAGAAGATGGGCTGGGCAGGGCTGGGAGGGGGAGGGGGCTTGGCGGTCACAGCTTCTGTTTCCACTTTATTTTTTGCAGGAGGAAGCCGCAGCTGCCAGCTCAGGTAGGTGTGTGGTGGCGTGGAGAATTGCAGACAATATGCAAGGGCCCCCACCTCCTCTCCCTCCATCTCCACCATCCCTGTATCCCTCCACCTGCCCCAACCTCAGGCAAAACCACCCTCTGAGCCTTGGGGCCACATTATCAGAGCCGGATGGTGCCTGGGTGGGGGACTGTACTGAGGCCCCAGGACTTCAGCAGGCCTGGGGAAGCCCTGCTTCCAGCCAGCCTCCCCCCTACCTGCCACCCTCCTCACTGGGAACACAGCTATCTGGGCTACCACCCAGCGGGGGTTTGGCTCAAACGTAACATATCACAGTGAAAACTGGGACCGGAGCCTGCTAAGGGCACACTCTAGATTCCACGTCTCTTAGGAGCATTTTCTTGCTGCTATGGTCTCCAGGCTGGACCCGGCACCTGTGCTTTGCTATTATTTACCCACCCCTCCCATCCTGAGACTCTGGGGACTGCGGGGACAAAGTCTAGGGGACCAAGGGTGTCTGGACACCGCACCCTGACCTTATAAGCCTCCACCTTGCTCAGGCCACAGGCTCTCCATTGCCCTGTGTGGCAGACAGACCACTTTACAGATGAGAAAACTGAGGCTCTGTGTGGGCAGTGTTTGGCCAGGTGGTCAGGAGCACAGATTTGAGCGTCACTCCTGGCTCTTCCCTCTTCCTTTCTGTGTGACTCAGAGCTAGTTCTGTGACTTCACTTAACTGTGGCTCCCTAATCAAGAAAGCTGGGACAATACTAGTACCTGCCTCATAGGGTTGTTGGGCAGAGTGGGGCGACAGTGTGTCCAAGGCACCCAGCACTGAGGGAGGAGACCACAATGTCACCGTGATGCTTGTGTCCCAGCCAGCCAGTGACTGAGATGGGACTGGAGTCAGGTGTCCTCACCCTGGTGTCCCGAGCTTGTTCCCCACCTGATCTTTAGTCTGTGCTCTCTGTCAACTTCCACACAAATCTGTAAGAAACCTACTAAGCCCGCCCCGACATGGATGAGTAAGACCAGGCTCACCGGGTGGGTGCAGACGCGCCCCGGGGGCTGCCTCCGCCATTCTCCCAGGGCATTCTAACGCAGGGGTCTGGGATCCACACTCCGGGAAACCCTGAAGCATGGTCATTTGCGCTTCTCAAAAGTGTGGACCCAGAAACCAACAGCTTTGTAATCACCTGGGAGCTGGTGGGAAATGCAGACCCCCAGCCCCACGCAGCTCCGCTGGACCAGAACCTGTGTGGTGACAGGAGCCCTGGTGACCCACCTGAAATGACCTTGAGCCCTGGTTCTCAAATATGACCGCACGTCGGAATTGTCTGGGGAGATTGCAAATCCTGCTGTCCAGAGACCCCAGACTATTGATTCAAATCCCTGGGATGGCCTGGCCTCAGACATTTCCAAACATCCCCAGGCGGTTCGATGTGCAGCCCAATTGGGAACCCAGACCCCAGGAAAAATTACTTCTTTTTTGGGAGTGGAATGAATTGAGCTCCAGAATTTCTTTCTTTGGGATGGAAAATTCTATCAGGCTAAGAATGTTTGTCTTGAGTCTGTGAGTTGAAGGGGTCTGGGGAGTTCCAGGTGCTTTGATTCTGACTGTTTTGAGTCTGAGGTGGGAAATGCTACCAGTGGTTGGTTAATGGAGAGAATGTAAGGGATTGGGGACTCCAGGCTGTCCCTCAGAGCTGTTGGGATGACCAGCCACATGAGGCGGTGATGCATTTGACATCGAGTTCCGGGGACAGGAGTGATGCCCCAGACTTTGAGAGCAGTTGCTGCAGGTGCAGGCAGGCACCGGGCTGATCTGTGTTGGCGCTGGTGGGGAGGAACCCCACCTCCCTGCCTCCCCCAACTCTGTGCTCCTCATTGCAGTCCCCAGGCTTCCTCCTCTGCCTGAGACCCCCTGGCCCCAGCACCATGGCTAAACCAGGCCAGGGCATGGAGCTGAATCGCCTGGTCCAGGACCAGCCACCTGGCCAGGTGGCCCCCAGGCTTGCACCCCCCAACCTGGTGGAGAACCTCCCCAATGTGCCCAGCTACCGTCCCCCAATGACCCGCATCCCTGTACTCATCTCCCGGAGGACGACCTTGTCCAACTCCAGCTTCGCCAAGGAGACCAGGAGCTCTGTCCGTCGCCTAGGTAGTGTGATCTCACCACCCAGCATGCTCGTGCCCGTGAGGTGTGCTTCTGCATGGCTTGGGCTGTTTCCCAGCATGGGTGCCATGGCTAGGGTATGGAAAACCAGTCCTTCTTCCTCTGCTGGGCAGTGTCTTCATCATGCTTTGTGGTGACTTGAGGAGTATTAGTCCCCTTCTCTCCTGTGCCTAAAATCCCACAATTAGCAATTCACTTCTTTGGGTTAAACATGGCTTTCTGCAGATCATCATTATTTCAATAAGCAGTCAGTCACACGCTAGTATAAACAAGTCAGCTCTCTAGGCCAAGAGGCTTGGGGCAGGGAGCTGGGTGGGAGAAGAGAGTAAGTGGAGGGAAATGGAACAGAAGAGGAACGTAGAGCTGCATTTCAGACAGAATCTTCTGACCCTGAGAGTTTGCTAGGAGCTGGAATTTCTGAGGACTGTTGATATCTGTCCAGCAAATTCCATTTCAGGAAATGAGAGGCCCCAGGTGCTGACAGGCAGAGCAGGAGGAAAGGCATCCCCAGGGGCCAGTGCAGAGGGCGGGCCTGCCTGGATCTGTTTCATTGTGACAAGGTCCCCTCAGTGGCCTTCAGGCTTGCTACTTGCTGCCTAATGACAAAGTTCTCAGGGACATACTGGCACCTCTGGGCTAACCCCTGTCATTTTCTGCCTTAACTCAAGCCAGACCTGCCCACTTTCCCTTTTGGTTTATTTATTTTTGGATGACACTGGGCAAGGTTGCCTCTGAGAACAGGAAGCAGGTAGCACTGAACATTTCATGAGAGGAGATCCACTCTTGTCCTTCTCGCCTTTTCCTAACTTGGGGTGGGCACAGAGTGGGGTGAGAGGGCAAGCTGTCATCCTCACAACAAGGGATGATGCCTGGCTTCAGTCTTCTGGGCAAGTCCTAAATCCACTCACTCCAAAGGGTCCCCCGACTTCCACCCTGTGTCACTGCTGGGTTTTTACTCTAGTCTGTACCAACTGTGCTTTTATTTGCTTACTGTTTGCTTTCAATGGATGCACTTTTTAAAAAATATGTTTTTAAATTGATTTTAGAGAGAGAGGAAGGGAGAGGGATAGAGAGAAACATGGATAAGAGAGAATCATTGATCAGCTGCCTCTTGCACGCCCCCTACTGGGCATGGAGCCTGCATCCTGGGCATGTCCCTGGCCGGGTCAACGTTCAACCACTGAACCATACAGGCCAGGCCCTTATATTCTTAATAATATTATTCTTGTTCTAGACATCAATATAATATAAACTAACATCACTTCTATTTGCGTTCCCACTGTGCCAAGCTGATGTGAAGTGAAACACCAGGCTTAGGTGTTTCACTCCTCCCCTGGGGCTACGGAGGTTGCAGGGTCTGAATCAAGGGGTGGGGGAGCACCTGCCCCCTCCCAGGCTCCTGGAGACATACTCCTGGATGGGGAGCCCAGGGGGCTTTCTGCTGCTTGGGGCCACTTTGGGGGGCATGCTGGGGCCCTGAGCACTTTTCAGAGAGGCTGCCCTTGTCCCCACCCCACCTCCAGGTCACTTCCCAAGGTCTGCCGGGAAGATCCCTTCTGGCTCTCTCCTGCTTCCTGTAGCCTGGGCATCTCTTGTTAGTCTGGCAAAACTTATTAAATTTAAAACAAAGTCTCGATTCTTGCTCATTCCCTTCTCCCGGGAGTCTAGGGCCTAGTAAAACAAATGCCCCCAAGTCTTGAGAACTCCTTAGGCTCTTCCCACCGAACTCTGCAAAGTGCCGGCTTTCCTCATGGTGCCTTCTCCCCACACATGCCTTTCCCCTACCCCCAGACCTAGGAAGGCATCGTCACTTCTACCTTGGGATGGGGAAACTGAGGCCAGAGAAGGGAAGCAGCTGATCCAGACTGTGCTAGGCCAGGCCATAGGACCCGCCTCCCCAGGCTCCCCATGCCTTCTCTGAACGCTGATTGCACCCTCCCCCAACTCCAGGTCCCCGATGCTTCCCCAGCCGGGGCAAACCAGGCAGGGCTTTGGAGACCTGGACTCTAGGCCATGTCAGGGAGCTCCTGGCTTCCGTGGCATCAGGGCTTTTTCTGTGGGTCCTGGACTGGTGGCTGGGGCCGAGTGGCCCTCGGGGGCCTCTGGGCTCTGTGTTCTTGCACGTCCTGTGTGGAGTTCCCTGTGGGCCCTATTGGGAGGTGGCTGCCGTGACCGCTTCAAGCCTGCTTTCTGTGGCTTCCCTGAAGGATTACAGCAAGGCTCCTGGGACCTGGCTTCTCTCTCTCTGACTGTCCCCTCCTTCCTCTCCCCAAGTGCCTGCCACTGAAGAGCACCCAGAAGTGCGGGTAGAAGATACCAATGCTGACAGCCACCCCCACACCGTGGAGGACAAGCCCCCCTCGCCTGAGCTGTTGCCGCCTTCTCCTGCCAAATCCGACACCCTCACAGTCCCAGGATCAGCTGCAGGGACCCACAGGTCACCTTTTATGCTTCTCTTAGGCTTTTTACAGCACTGTGCCCCTGTCCATTTAGCAGATGAGGAGACTGAGGCCAGAGAGGGGAAGCAGCTGGCCCAAGGTCGCTCAGCGCGTCGGTGTTAGAACTGGGACTGCGCCGTTCCTTCCTGGTTCTCCTAGCTCCCAGTGTGGGGCTCTGGAAAGAGCTCTCCAGGGAAGCCCTGTCCCAAATACCCTCAACTGCATGTTGGAAGGGGATAAAAATGTGACAAGGCTGAATTCCACCCCCCATTCTATTAGGAAGTAATATAATGGCAATGCCACAGAGCCCTGGAAAAATAACCATCCGTAATCCTACCACACTATGTGCTGTTTTAATTTTCGGTTTTCTCTTCTGTTCCTAATTTATGGGCCCAAGCCTTTGCGTGGTTTTAATCAAAGGCATGATTGGATTACATTTCATTTAATGATCCCCTTTACATTTTTCTCAGCTGTCTCCTTAACATCCATTTATTATGGCCGTGTGACATTCCTCCAGCTCCATGTGCCAGAATGGACTTCAATCCCCCTTACTGGGCACTGTCCACAATGGAGCTATGAACTCTCTGCTCTTCTGCTCTCTGTCCTCGGGCTCCTTTCTCAAGAGTGAGATTCACGGTCAAGGTTGCACACATTTCTATGCCTCTTGAGATAAATTTGTGGCTTCGTGGTTAGGGCTGGTTTGGGACAACCTGAGCCAGCTCATGGAGAGAGATCCTGCATACAGCTGTGAGTAAACTGTGAAGTGCAGCCCAGTGCTTTGTGAATGGCTATAGTTAAGCTGAAGGGGAGCTGCCAGTGCTCCTCCTGCACTGGCTGGATTGAGAGATGGTTCTTTTTTTCTTGATTAATTCTTACTCTCATCCATGAGCCCTTGAGTAATTTCTCAGCTGAGGTCAGGAGCCTGTCATAATGGAGATGGCTATGTATGAAAAAGAGAGGGCTCTCAGATTTAATGTGGAGAAGAGCCATAATCTTACCCAGCCTTAGAACACAGCTCATAATTCCATCAGTCCTTATATTTAATTCATTGAATTATGCACAGAGTACAGATAGCAGAAGAAATGGTGCCACCATAGCTGTAGACATCTGATCTACCTTCCTTTAAGGGTACGGAAATTGTAGTCTGGGTTGGGGCAGATATTTGGGGGCAGGGTAGGGACTAAGGTCACTTGAGACTAGAATCTAAGCCTCCTGCCTTCGGCTTTTGGGCTGGGCCTGTGAGGTTCGTCTTAGCGCTATCATTCATTCATTCAGTTTTTATTTGCAAACATTGATTGAATATCTTTATGCATCGAGCTCTGCTCTAGGTGCTGGAGATGCACCAAGGAGAAACCGACAGGGGCCTGATCTTGTGGAGCTGACATTCTAGAGGGACTGGGAGAGACAGTGAACCAGTAATCAAACAAACAAGACTATTCCAGAGAGTGCTGAGTAGGGCGTGGCTGAGAAACTTGGGAGCCTCTGCCTGAATGATGGGGGATAATTTAGTCCTAATTCTTCAGATAGGGAACCTGGAGCTCCAGGCAGGGAGGGGCCTGCCCTGGGTCACCCTGTAAACTAGAAACTGGACTCCATGGCTCATGGGCTTTAACCTTTCCCGCTGGGGCACATCTGCAAAGGGAGGGAGGCTGAGCTTCCANTAAACTAGAAACTGGACTCCATGGCTCATGGGCTTTAACCTTTCCCGCTGGGGCACATCTGCAAAGGGAGGGAGTTTGAGCTTCCAGGAGGGTTGAGCAGATGGAATGGGAGGCCTCAGGCCTTCACGGCAGCTGGGAGGGTGGTGTGAATGAGAATGGGGTGGGAGCTGGGGCAGGCAGCGACTTTAGGCTGGGATGGGGAAGGGAGAGGGATGCTTATGCTGAAGCCCGACTGAGAGATAAGTATCTCATTGAGTGGGGTAGATTTAGTTCTGTTTTACAGAAGGGGCAACTGAGGTGGCTCAGAGAGTTTAAGTAACTTGCCAAGGTCACACACAGGTAAGAGGCAGGGCTGAATGGAAACTCAGGTTTGCCTGAGACCAAGTCAGTGCTGTTAACTTTATGCTCAGCCACTGAACAGATGTGGAGACTGAGGTCCAGAGAACAGCTGCTCTCTTCTCCCTTTCTGTCCCCCTGCAGGCAAGTCAGGACCCTTTGGCAGCATCATCTCCTGCCCCACCCCCATCCAAGATTTGCCTCTGGGTGATCTGCAAGGGTCCAAGTCGGCTCACTTCCCCTGAGGCCCTTGCCCCCGCTGAAGGCCTCTTTCATCTGTGTCTCTGCAGGAAGAGGCTGCCTTCCCAAGATGACGAAGTCGAAGAGCTCAAGGTGCTGTCACCTGCTGAGACCCCCGTTGTTGCCTGGTCAGACACCCCCGTCCCACAGGGCACCGAGTGAGTAGGGGCCACATCTAGGGTCTCAGAGACTCAGAAGGCTGGGTGGGGATGTGTGGGCAAGAGGAGGTGAGTGTGTGTGGGGGAGAACCATGGATGTTTTTAGAGCCCTTCACCACAGGCAGACTTCCAAGNAAGGCTGGGTGGGGATGTGTGGGCAAGAGGAGGTGAGTGTGTGTGGGGGAGAACCATGGATGTTTTTAGAGCCCTTTACCACAGGCAGACTTCCAAGAAGAGAGACGGGGCTGGGTCTCCTGCCCAGGCTGCTTCTGGCTGGCCTGGGAGTTCTGCGAAGTCTGAAGAGTGGGCTCGGACTCGGTCCAGCTGTGTCCACGGCCAGCAGTGCTCAGAGAGGGAGATGTCTCTGTGTAGAGTCTCTGTGGTAAAGGAGAGGCTGAGGGGAGCCACAGGTAGAGGTTGGCTCCTGACACTGAACCCCTGAAAGGGACAGCTGGGAGAAGGACCAGGAGGATCCCAATCCCAGGAGCTTGTTAAAAATACAAATTCCCATGCCCCACCCAGATCTGCTGGATCAGGACCTCAGACAGTGAGCCTCAGGGAATCCATCTTCACAAGCTCCCGGGTGATTTGGATGTGGCTGGTCTGTAGGACGATGCTGAGAGGCCACCGTGTAGGCATTAGGACTGTGCCTTTGACATTTAACTAACCCAAGGGTGGGGCCAGTGGGAGATGTTTTCCTGTAGAATTAATCTGGTTGATGGTGAGTCCCCTCCCAGGGCTCTGGCCTGGGATCCCCATCCCGCTCCCAGACACAACTCCTGGAGTGGCCACAGGAGACATCGGCCTTTCTTTCAGCCTTTTTTTCTATCCATAACTTGTGGAATTTATTCACTTATTTTGTCTCTCTGTGAGTTCTTAGTTTAAATTCTTTTTATATATATTTTATTGATTTTTAGAGAGAGGGAGGGAGAGGGATAGATAGAAACAACCATGAGGGAGAAACATCATCGATTGGCTGCCTCCTGCACACCCCCTACTGGGGATCGAGCCTGCAACCCGGGCATGTGCCCTGACCAGGAATTGAACTGGTGATCTCTTGGTTCATAGGTGGATGCTCAACCACTGAGCCACACCGGCCAGGTTTAGTTTAAATTCTTGTAAGTTAAAAGAATGTATAACATATTTGCACTGTTTTTCCCCCACCCGCTATTTCTGAGGCCTAACTAACTAGCCCTGTCTCCCCCTTCACGTATCTCATGTGAACCCCACACTGGGACTAACAACCCGGAACTGAGTTTCCTCTAAATCACAGTGGAGCCAAAGTTTTTTCAGAACTGTCCATCTGAGTCAGAGCCCGTGTGGTACATTTTCTGAAAGCTGGCCCCCGGGGCGTTATTCCCAGGCTAAGTTTCCTGCTTAGAGATATAAAAGTGGGTCTGATATTTCTGATGTCCCAAGGCCAGGTGGGATTCAGCCCTTGCCCGGGGCACAGCGGTACCTCCCCACTCAGCCCACTCGGCTTCGTGGTGTTTCCGCAGCAGCCAGGACCGCTCGTCCTCCACAGCCAGCCAGAACAGCGCCATCATCAACGAGCGGCTCCAGGAGCTGGTGAAGCTCTTCAAGGAGCGCACGGAGAAGGTGAAGGAGAAGCTCATCGACCCAGACGTCACGTCCGATGAGGAGAGCCCCAAGCCCTGTGAGTCCCAAGCTGGGGATGGTCCATCCGGCCAGGGGTAAGGTGGGACCGCTAAAGCCCCCTGTCAATTCATGGTGAGAGTGGCCCCCCAAAATGATTAGAGTGTTTGAAAGAAGCTCAGATCCTCACTGTCTGGATTTTTGGCTCCTGTATGAACAGGCTTAGCTATATGCCCAAGGAAGGGAAGAAGGTCAGTGACCCAGTTGTACTTGGCTCCCAGTCCAACAGGGCAAATACACTCATTGACCCTTCTGTCTTTTCCCCACTGGCAGGCAGCTGGTCTACCCTGGGACGTATCACATGGTCTTACACTCACTCAGATGGTATCCATAACCCACTGTGGAACTAGACGGTCTTATTTTTCAGATGCCTCATTAGTAATATTCGTATGGGGCTACCTGAACGTTTTCTGCTTTCAAGGTGCCAAGAGGAAATAAGGAATGTGCTTTGTTGTTGGAGGTGGGGGAGGGGTTTCTAGGTCTTTCCAAAGGAGGACCGTGCCTTAGAACTCCGGGTGCCAACAATGAACCTAGCAGAGCCTGCCTTCACAATCCTAAAGTGAGAAACATAGCTGTATTTAACCTATAGGAGCCAATCTCTAGGTCACCAATACTGCCATCGATGTGCAGGAAGGCTGTGATCCCATTTGGTATCTTGTTTTAGAGATGAAGGAGCTGAGATTCCTGCTCTGATAAACCTAGAGCATCATTGCCCTAATTTCTGACCCTGGGTGGTGGAAGTCCTTGGTACAAGATGCTCCCGGCCCTGCGGAGGGAGCCAGAGGGGCCCAAGTGCAGACACACAAACAGATACTCAACTAAAACTCCCAGCTTGCCCAGAAACACCTCATTTGGGGCAGTTTCAGATTGGCAGCCGGTAAGAGTTTCTGGACAGGTGCTCAGGTCACTGTGATGGGGGAGCTGGGGGGTTTGCCCTGGTGTCTGCACACAGAGCTTGTAGCAGGCTGTGGGATGGTGCCAAGGTCTCAGCTCCAGTTCCAGGGCCTGCAGTTGGGAGCCTTCTCTCTGAATCCTCTACCTGAGCCTCAGGGCTGGGTCAGGCACTCACCAGTGTCATCCCATAGCTCCAGCCAACAAAGCCCCAGAGCCAGCCCCTGACACGAAGCCAGATGAGGCGGTGCAGGTGGAGGAGGAGCACTACTGTGACATGCTCTGCTGCAAGTTCAAACGCCGCCCCTGGAAGAAGTACGAGTTTCCCCAGAGCATTGACCCACTGACCAGTGAGTCCTGGGTGGGCCATGGGCATTGCTGCCACATAACATAAGAGGACAGGAGAGTGGGAGGGGAACGGAGGGGTGTGCCAGAGGTGGGCTGGGAGGTCATGGACATCCAAGGTTTGTGACCCAAGAACAAACAAACAAAAATATCCCTGGAATAGGAACACAAGATCACACCCATCTCACAGACAAGGAAACGAAGGCACAGAGTCATTAACTGGCCTAAACACACAGCTAGTTAGTGGCAGACATACTCCTGACTCCAGGCTAAGTCTGCCCTGCCCTTGCTGGCTCCCTTCTGGAGCTGCTGCTCTGAGCAGGAAAGGGAAGGAGTTCTTCCAACATCCAAAACGAATTCTCTCTTACTTCCCTTTTATATTCCTCAGGAATAACAACCCTTCATATGTGCGCAGCTCTTTACAGTTTGCAAAGAATCTCCCTGCCTTTCTTATCCGACCTCTCCTCTTGTGACTTCTCTGAGGAGGGCAGGATACCACAGGACTTTCCCAAGGTCAAAAAGTAATCATTTGGGGGACACTGGTGTCCACTGGGCCTCTAAAATGACCGGGTGACCTGTGACATCCA